GTAACAATTTTCTCTTCAATGCGTTCACGCACCTTTGTCTATTCGATTAATTGACAATATTACGTCGTAACATTTACTTCGATTCCATAGTATCGATAGTCGCATTTGGTTCACTTTCACTACGTCACATCCTTCGCACTTCTAACAAAGGATTTTCTCTTTATGCTCCTTCCTGGTATTCTTTATCACGTGTATCCATACACGGAAAAAAAGGTTTAATTGAATTAACCAAATGCCTGATCGAATATGAACAATCCAGAAATTCTGATTGATGTAACCCGAATTCTATTTAAGCCAACCAAAAATCTTGTTAACTTAAAAAGAATTCGGGTTACTTCAATCGGAATATCTGAATCGTTCATATTCGACCAGATATTTGGTTAAATCAACTAAACTTTTTTTCCGTGTATAGATACACGTGACACTGCGTTCGTATGTGGTCATTTGCAAAATGGTAGAGAACTTTTTTGTTCAATTTGACTGAATGTATAAATACGCAATGGCAGACGTCGTCACTACAGCTCATCTACCATATCGACCGTCATCATTTACAAATCTTCTTTAATTGCCCTTTTCAGCAAGAAGCAACTCCCAATTACTTTATAATTCCCCCCCTCTCTCTTATAATTCTCTCTCTCTCTCTCTTTTCTTCTCTATTTCTTTTCTTTATAATTTCTCTCTCTCTTTTCTTCTCTCCTTCTTTCGTTATCATACTTTGACGAGATGACTCCAAGTTCCGGCCTAACCGCCGTCACGACAAGACGTGTTCGAACATGTTCGGACCTTGTGATTTTTTTGGATCGTGTCTTGGAACTCATAATATAAATTTCCAAGACTTTACTCTCAAATTATATCATTAATCGGAAACTGGCGTAGGGGCATTACTCTTATAGAGGCCTGTAGCCATATATTGAAGGAAGGAAGGAAGGAAGGAAGGAGATGACTCCAACACAAGTTTGACATAAGTCTAAGTTTCTCACGTGACAGCAATTTCAGACAACGACTACTGATACGCGCAATACCTCATGAATATCATAGCTGATTAGCGCTTAATTAATTCTTAGATAATCGAATCGCTGGGAAACGACGCAACGCGACAACAGTGCGAAGTTCTCGCGCGACGTAACGCGCAGTGCGCGCGGCGCAATCTCGCTGATAGAGGGAGGAAGAAAACAACTGACTCTCTCCTCTTCCGCCTTATATGGCAGCGGGCTCGTTCGCACTGTGGCCAATGAAACCGTGCGGGTGTCCGGAGATGAACTTAAGATGAACTTAAGACTTAGATATATAAGACATGACTATGAATGCCGCTTCCCTAGACCGCGTTCTCCTTTACGGCGCACTTCACCACTGAGGAAAGTGACATTTTGAGGATATATTTGTTTGGGGCTGGCACAGAACTTCATCGGAACTGGTAGAATCGGATAATAAAAGCTCAGAATACTTCATCGATACATTCTCCTCGGAGAGCCGCGGTCGGAAGTTCGATCGTTGGTCCCGATATATTTCTTTGAAAATATCGATGCACTCAAGCCTTCGGCTGGATTCGCAAATCAAATGAATATTAAAATTCACCGCTCAGAAAATCGCCTCTAACTGCTCGCAGACTTTCGGGACCATAACCTCAGCCAATAAATAGAAAAGAAGAAGAACGCAGGCCGATTCGGGCCTTCGAAACTTCAAACTCGCGTGATCTTTACGCGCGACCAATGAGCGCGCGACTGCGTAAGTTATCCACAATAATTTCGCGGATATTTTACACACTTGCGCTTAATCGTGGAGAAACAGGTTTGCGCGCGCTCACTTTGATCACAAATTGGAAATGTCAAACGCAGCCAATGTCGCGAGATTACTCGCCTTTCAACGAGACAGTTGATGCAATTTATTTGTGTTTTTCTCCTCGGTTTGAACGCAATAAATTCGGATTACTGCGACCTTCGCTTCTTTATCGATATCGTATTCAAAGCGTGCGCGCGCACGTGTGCATCGAACATGAACGGAAATTATTTGCGCACCGACGTGATGCGCCCGCACAAAGAGAAATGGTATCATCCGCGGCAGCGCGTCGGAGCATTGGTCATCAATTCGGCCCTCAATCACGTCGATCTCGGGAACTGCGAGGCAGCTCGACGTCCGGACAGCCGACCGACGAAATTGCCGGACAGCCGTGTTGGCGACACAATAGACCCGTCGTTCTCCTCTCTGCCTTCATTACAAGCTTTCTTACAATCTACTGCAATCTACTATAATTATGTTGAAAGAGAGAGAGAAAATGTCCAAAAAATGAAAAGTACTTATTTATTGGGCACTTTATTCAGAACCAAACCTTTTCGTTCAGATATAATAAACAGTTGCTTTCATGAAAGATTTTAAAGGAATATTGAAGCTGAAAATTTTATCGACGATATACAGACTTTTTTCTACAAAGTTTACGTTGTATTGGTTGTACAGAATTACAAATGCTTTTACACAATGAAAGTACGTGCAAAAATAAATAAAAAAGTATTGCTAAATATGTGACAGAAACGAAAAAAAATTTAAATGTAAAATCTCAAGCTGTCAGCATAATATTTGTCTAATCCAAAAGTTTCGTAATTTGTACATACCGAAAGTGTGGAAACCAGACTCCAAACAGAAAAATTTTTAAGAACATTGCTGTACCTTCGAATCCACAAGCTTAAGCTTAGTAAACATTTCTATAAATATTATGACATAAACTGTAAACTAATTTTACTAATCAATTGAACTAACTGTCAACCAATTGTTAACATTGTAATTGCCCCTTTCCTAAACTATCCGGTAATGTTTCATGTCCTGTGAGCACAGTCTGGAACATTGATAAGTGAGCTATTCGCTCACTCCACCTCAAAACGGTGATCGCGCGTTCGTTTTACTGACATTTCGACAGTATAGTTAACGTCAGTTATAATTGTGTTACTGAGTGTATGACTAACTAAAATTGAATCCGAGAATCCGCGCGAATCGAATAAAATCCAGCTCGACATGGACACAGACGGTTGTCACACAGCGATCACGGCTTGCGCGACAATTTTGTCGCTACGTGAAATATCGCATAGAGCGCGAAATAAATTGGAAGAGTCGTAAACCGTTGTGATCTCGAGTAAGTTTTTGATTTGCAATACTGGTGTAAAAAGTGCCTCGTCAATCGTCACGTTTCCACCCTCGCGAATAAATGCGAGGAACATTTCCGGGAAATAATTGAACGATCTGTAGTAATTGAAGATTTATCGAGACTGATCAAGCGGGTCGTATTAATGGTCGTTACTTCGAAAATGATCACAAGTGGGACACTCACGCTTGAATTTGGAATTAGATGTGAATTTTTCAGTTGAATCACGGCTACAACGACTGCGTTCAGCAGAGAAAACCGCAATGCAACTATTGTACAATCCGTGAATCTGATTGGTGTACGCCCCTATTGGCCGAATATATAAGAACATGTGCCAGTGAGACTCGCGAATTTTACAACAGTCGCAAAGCTTCTTCCTCCGCTTCTTCGTCCATATTCATGATATTTTTGCGTATGCGTAAATTCCTTCGCGCAGGTATAATTGTATCATAAAATAGTTGCGCAATAAAACTTACGTGTACGCAAAAATTTCAGAAATACGCAACCAATGTCGCATATGTCGCATAATTAAACTGGAAAGAACTCAGATAATTTAGATCCAACTCCAAATTTCAATCCGAGTGTTGTCTCACGTGAAGCAAAGACTATTAACGCGTATCCAAGTACCCGACAGCTTCCGCGGAGGACGAATCGCGAGACCTCGGATTCACCTGACAAGAAAATGAGAAAAATAAGTGGCATTCCATCAGCACATTTCTAATGCCGTGACTCCGTTATAAACGCGAACACAAGCCGCGACCATGTATTATTACATGACGCGGCATCGCGTGCGGATCACTCCGGGAGGCACGACGTGTCACACTCGCTATGCGAACCTGAAAGCCACCTGAGTTACGACTCGTGCAGGCCGGCACAGCCGACAGATAACATGGTATCACCCGCGTCGAGTGTGGAGCTGCGCGTCGCGCTAGGGAGGATCGGCGATCGAATCGCGCAAGGACGCTTGTACGTCAGTCCGCGATCTCGTAAATCGCAAATCTGATAGCAGCAACTCGAACGAATGTCGCGGCTGTTGCGAGCAAAATTAATAGTCGAGTAACGATCGCGCGACGACAAAGAGAGAGAGAGAGAGAGAGATAGAGGGAGAGAGGGAGAGAGAGAGAGAGAGAGAGAGAGAGAGAGAATGCACCTCGTCGCGTCCAGCAGACCTGTTCTATAACTTGTAACAACGACGGTGTCGTTATCGTTACATTGCGGTACAATACACGATACAATGCATGGCATAATGATATACGCGGTAGAAAAGCTGCGCAATAGCAACAAAACGATAACAATGCTGTCTCGTTAAGAGTTGTCTGAACACAGGTTGCCTTATGCAGAATAGTCTACGGGTGTGCACACGTTATACGGATCGACGGATTAGCTTGCTGTCGCTATTGTCAGCCGCAGTATCGTGTCGGGAGTAGACTATCATCATCCATTTACAGACCGCGCCGACACGGTGCGTCGCGAGCGTGCAAAAAATGGGCAAGACTGAGCGCGTTCGCAGAGCGAATTCGGCCCGACCGTCGCGAACGACAATGCGTCGCGCGCTAATCACCGTCGTCTGACGGGTCGAGCTGACGCAGCATACCCGATCGCCGTGTCAAGGCGAGTCGATCGGTTAGACATCGCGCACGCGAGACAGAGAGAGAGAGAGAGAGAGAGAGAGAGAGAGCTCGCATATGTAAACAAACGGAGCTGTCAGTCGGATCGATGTAAACGCTGCTGTAACAGCTGTGCGCCGCGTCGTAGTATCGCGAAGTGGACGCGCGCTGTCGTTCGGCGAACAAAGGACCGCGACGGGGAAGAACGAGCGAGACGCAGAGGCGAGAGAGAAAGAGAGAGAGAACTGGAGATAACAGCTTACCGCAAGAGAAGCGAGAGGGTCTTATTGTTGGCGCACTCGAGAATCTTCTTCTTCTCCCAGCCCTCGACCGTTTTCACCCATTCTTCACCTGGGCTGCGCCAGTCCTTGGATATGAACGGCATCCTGGAGGCACGCACGCCAACAGAGCAGATTTCGTCGACCGAGACGAGGACGGATGCGCGGCCACGACAACTCGAGACGACGACTCGCAGCACCCGCGGAGGTGCAGGAACGCGGACCTCGCCGTGTCCGCGGACGCCGAATATGTGTTGGCTGCGCGTTCGTATCGCGGAGCAACTCGTTCTCTCGCGCTCTGAGCGCGCATGGCTTTGTTTGAGTGACGTCACCGCGCATCAGCTGTGACAGGCCGCCGCGGAGAGCAGCGCCGCGGGCGGACGATCGCGCAACGTCGAAGCCCGATGTCTCCGCTCGGCCGATAATCGTCGAACTGTCACTGTGCGCAGAACCCTGGAAAGTTCCCGGATAACATGCATGTCTGAAAGATGTCGGAAAGATATCTTATGTAACATTTTGTTGCATAAGATGTTTTTAAATATCTTTTCGACATCTTTTAGACATACATGTTATCACGAATCCCCCTTCCTTTAGACCGTTTCATGCATATGCGCGCATTTATCTATAGTCAGTGTTGTAATGTATCCAGATATATTTATTAATTACAGTAGATATATTTATCTAATTACAGTAAATATATGTATCTAATTACAATATCTACATATGTTTTGTGTACTTTTATCTGTAACTAGTTAGATTTTTCATTTCATTAACTGTATCTGTAACTAATCTTATTTTACCTTGTATCTGTATCTAGTGTTAAACTTAGAAAACTTTCACTTTTCACATGTTTACAGTGAAAAACAGATTTGTAATCGATTCCCTGCGGGTTGACCGTGAATTTTTTTCTTCAGTGTGAATTCGTGAAAAGTGAAAATATTCTTGATTTAAAAGTATTTGAAAGTTCTCACTTTTCACGAGTTTTCACACAAAAAGAAGAAGTTCATGATCAATTGCCTGATACAATATAAAAATACCAATACTCAGACATGTATCTAATTCTAAACATTCTTATTATGTGTTTTTTGTTTTGGATTTTAAATACAAATATTTAAACTTTCAACATAGAATACATATATATATTTATTGTATATATTTTATGTTAAAAGTTCAAATATTTACATTTAAAAATCAAAATAATAAGAATATCTAACATTAGATGTATGTTTTGGAATTGGTATTTTCACCTCAAATCTAATGTGTTAAACAAAGGAAAACGTCCCGATATTTAGCCAACTTTTAACATTCTTATGTGAATTTTATCAAATATTGAGGTGCAGGGAAATTTTAACACAGTGGTAAATTCACGAGACAAGTTTTTTGTCTTTAAAATATTATTTTATTTCTGTTCCTTTATGAAATAAAAGCATTGTTGTAACTTTATCCGTCTCCCCTATTATAATTTTTTTTAATTCTCACACATACTGATATTTTATAAAATCCACGCAAGAGTGCCGATTTCTGAACGTTTTATTGAACTTTCGCGAGTAATAAATGACGACTGCGAAAATATATACTTTTAAGTATTTTTCTAAAAAATGTATGGCGCGATATATTCTATAGTTCTATTTTATGAAAAAAATATTTGATATGTGAAGTGCACAAGCGAGGGCAGTGCAAATAGAAGTACTACTTTTCTCGGCTTGCTCAATCACAATATATTACAAATTTGTGATATAAATCAATAGTTTAACAAAATATCACTTTAAATATACAAGATTCAAATATATTCATATATATACAAAACTTGTCAGTTGCCTATATTGTGTGCCCTATATATTTGTATTGTCTAGTTCTTTGATCACTTCTGATACCGAGCTGTCGTCCTTCTTTGTCTCTCCTTCTTTTTCTCCTTCAGATTCGGTATCACTTTGTGGAAAATCAGGAAGTGCTAAAAACAGACGTTATTAAGAGGCAAGTTCGATATTAACAAACGAGAGTGTCAAGCAGTGTACCCGACGTCCTTACCATGCCTATTTAATTTCTCATGCCACGCATCCTCCAGGAACTTCTCTTGCACCGCGATCACTTCCTCGTTGCTTTTGCAGAGAGCGTATTTTTCCAACAATTCGCTATTCAACTCCAGAAACGAGTGTCCCCACGAGAACTTTCCCAGATACAGTGCAGCCTCGTCATGGAATCCTGTTATGGTCAAAGCAGCTGCTATAGCCTCCACGCAACTCAGCTCGCACGGTTTCCCGTAATTCACAGGATTGGCAGCGACCAGAAACGGCAGCAGACGTGGATTGGGCGTTCTCATTCTGTTGAACGGGGTCTCGTTCACGCGCGCCCAACTGCAGTCCACAACCGCGCAGCCGTACTCCTGTATTATATCTCGATCCGTCGGACTCACGCACTGCAAAACGATCACAACTTCACCACGCGTCCCCGCACCTGTAACGAACAAATACTCACGCTGTGTATTTAGTTACCTTGGTGCCGACTGGGGTAAGCACTAAGCCTGGAAATCGAGCACCTAATCTCAGTGTCTTTACCAAACCGTGCCTCACCAGCTTCCTGCCGGAACACTTCCTGCGGTCACAGTGCTGCAGGTCCCACATAGCCACGGGAAACGCGACTGACGGCACGGTGTCGTTCTCTGTGGGTTCTTCTGCAAGTTCAACTATGAGTCACACATGCAGCTCGAACCAAGATCGACTGTTATCGCATAAATCTTAATATTCTACACCTACATTTAGACAATGTAAACCATATGTCATCTATGTAGATAATGTGTGATATATAGCTGTTGTCAAGTCATATAAGAACATATGACTCGCTCAAAGATTGATTCCAAAGAATCTGTACCTTTATTTTGATCTTTAGAATTCTGATATAAATTTATGAACATTGCTTCCTGAATAAATTGCAGTCCATAAAATTTTCTGATTATATTCTCATCTACAGAGAATTGACTTACCAATTTGTCACATAATGAAGTAAAGTTTCTGATAAAATTTTCTTTGATATTATATTTATCATTAATGTCCGAGGACAGATACAGCGGCTGTCTCATAATTTAGTTACATTTTTTTTTATATTCTGATATAACTTACATTGTCTACATGAAAAAAGAGATCATATGTACATCACAGACAAACAATCTGCGTGACGTATCTCGAAATCTATGACGCAATCCTGGTTCGAAGGACTCGTGTCTCTTCTACCTCATTTATACGTGTCTATTTTTTCTCTCGCACACAGTGTATCTTGCGAATCTCACTGTGTGTCGCGAATTTACCAAATAGAATTCCAAGGCGAAACCCACGCATCATCAGTCTAACCTGCCTCGTGCTCATCGTCCGACTTGTCCCTCTCCTGATAATATTTCTGTTCCTTGCAAAGAACCTGCCGAGGTCGTCTTTGCATCAACACGTGCTTGTTCTTCTTGTGCGAGCGTGACGACATTTTTCCCAGAAGCACTATACGTATTACACTTTCTCAAATATAAGGCAGACAGAACCACTGACGCTGGATCAGCAACGCTGAATCGACTGAACGCGAGTACGAAACTCTTCAAACGACCCTGTCATGCGCGTGGCTGTGTATCGACGTCCACGTGACCGATTCATCAGGCTCGTATCTAGTCGGGGTGCTTCTCGAGGCCTTCGTAACAAATGTTTCACATTTCCTGCTCATATTTATAATATTAATATCCTACTCTCTTACCGACAGCATAAAACATTAAAATAAAAGAAGCAAGAAAACGAAAAATGAGCGACAATTTTCGTTCTCAGAAATCAATTCTATGCCCTAAAATATACAAATTTACAGTTTGAAAAAAATCCAAGATGAGAGCGTTATACTGCATATTTACTAAAATCTATTAAACGCAGCATTAGGCATACGGTACTGTGATAACCAACGCGAGTGCCAAAAAGTTTTTGTCAACTTTTGCGCAGAGACCGCAACTGATCGTTTTTATATTTTAATTAATTCGTGTCGGACGATTGGAGAGACCTTGAAAAATTCCTAAGGTCCCGAAAAGGTAATGATACTACGGCTCTGCTAGCACATGACGTGGCGGGCGGACTGTCAGGGCCACCCGATAAGTGGTCGCGCGCGCATCTGTCTCAGCAGTTTCAATCAGTCCGCGAGCACAAATCACTTATCGGCATATAGGCGACAACAGTCGCGCGAACATGCGTTTCGTGCCGCTTTGATTGCCGAACAGGGACAGCTCGTTTGTCGCCAGTCCGTCCGCAGTTCAAGGTAAGCACATTCGCATCGCGTTCGCGTTGCACTTGCTCGCATCTCGCTCGCAATTCTCATCTGAGAGAGCAATTTTGGCGCTCGTCGGAATGGATCGCACACGATTTTGCGAGTCGTGCGTAAACTCGATCGAGCACGTACGTCAGTGTACAATTAACATGTGTGCCGCACGTGCTCACGGCTCCCTTTCACGGTATTCTTTCTTCATGCTGGTCACAGGAGCGAGGATATGGATCCAGGTATTTTGATATATTGCTAGCTGTGCTTTTCCTTTGCGTTTCCAAGTGTCACGGAGGACAGAGTCGATTGTGTTGGAGCTTCATCCGAGTAGGAACTGCGGAGCACGGCATGTGTGTCGAACTGTACAAATATGCGAAAACATTCCTTTCTTATCATTTTTCTACATTTATTTAATGTCCTGACATGGCACTGAAATTATCATAAGCGATTCACCTTGAACACACTGCTGCTTCCAACATGCACATGTGTTATTTTTAGAGATATATATTAAAGAAGATTATAATTAAATAGCAAATAAAAATATAATTTATATAAAAACTTGTCTTGCATACACTGTTATTATTGTTATGTTACAAACTTCTTTGCAGCAATAATGTATCATGATGTAACATCAAATTATAACAGCTGCATACTTTTGTTTCTCAGTTATATTCATCTGTAGAATTTACTTAGAAGGGAATCATATGGTGTTTTATTATGAATGTTTTAAATATCTGTGCAGATATATGAAACAATCCTTTCTTGTCAACATTATTTAATGCTCTGACATAGCACTGAAATTATCATAAGCGATTCACCTTAAACACACTGCTGCTTCCAACATATATATATATATGTTATTTTTAGAAAGATAGAGAAGATTATAATTAAATAGCAAATAAAAATATAATTTATATAAAAATTTGTCTTGCACATAATGTTATTATTGTTATGTTATAAATTTCTTTGCAGCAATAATATATCATGATGTAACATCAAATTATAATAGCTGCATACTTTTGTTCCTCAGTCATATTTATCTGTAGAATTTACTTAGGAATCACATGGTGTTTTATTATGAATGTTTTGCAATGTTTGTGCAGATATGTGAAACAATCCTTTCTTGTCAACATTATTTAATGCTCTGACATGGCACTGAAATTATCATAAGCAATTCATCTTGGACATACTACTGCTTCCAATATGCACATATGTCATTTTTAGAAAGATACATGGAAAAAATAAATGTGATGCACCTAACAAAAAATATTTAGTTGTAAGCAAATAGCTGCATCATTCTACATATCTTATGATAGTTATGTGTATGGTTGATTTGACTTACTTACTTTGATGTGTCAATTACAATGAAGTTGCACATGATCTGGTTGTGGCAACCAGAAATTAGTAAGGAGATCATTTTGCATAGACAAGCTAAATATCGATATAGTTGCATTAATCAATACTATATTGCAAAGCTGCGATGTTAGAAAACAAGAGCAATTCACTACGCGCACAGCTAGAGATGTATATATGTGAAAACTGGTTCTGAGTAATATGATAAATATTCATTTGTAATTGCCGCGTAATGAGCCACGTTTGTATTAACCATGTATCACTGCTGCAACATAAGTAACTCAGCCATTGCTCTTTGGTTACAGCAACCACATAAATAGTTGTTCCGTATTTTACTATTGAATCTGGTTGGCACAACCAGATTTCTGTATGGATCAACCATATTGTTTTTTCCGTGTAGATATTAAAGAATATTATAATTGAGTAGCAAATAAAAATATAATTTATATATAAATTTATCTTGCACACTGTTATTATTATTATGTTACAAATTCTTTGCAGCAATAAAAGCATGATGAAACATCAAATCATAACAGCTGCATATTTTTGTTTCTCACTCATTCATTTGTAGAATTTACTTAGAAGTCATATGGTGTTTTATTATGAATGTTTTAAATGTCTGTGCAGATATGTGAAACAATCCTTTCTTATCAATATCCTTTCAAGTTCTGATATGGTATTGAAATTATCACAAACGACCTATCTTGAATATTTTGCTGCTTTCATAATATGCATATGTATCATCTTTAGAGAAATAGTTATTAAAGAAAATTAAGTAGCAAATAAAAATATAATTTGTATATAGATGTATCCATTTTGCACATTGCTATCATTGTTATGTTACAAGTTTCTTTGTGGCAATACCATAATGTAACATCCAATCATAATGGCTGCAAATTCCTATTTCTCAATGATATTTATTTATGGAATCAACTTAAAAATCACAGATTATTTTATTATCATGTATTATTTATTATTTTACCATTCAGTATGTATATTTTTTGCCTTTAGACATTTGATCCACTACTGTAGATGTATATTCTGTCAAGATATGATTCTGTCAAGGTATTTTAGAAATACAATATAAATAATATACAATGTATATCATAAAAGAAATAATATATCTTTAACTAGTGATATATAGTCTTCAAATTATATTTGTGGGCCACACAGCTAATGATGCAATCTTGACTTACCAAATGTTTTATATGTACAAGTATTATGTATGATTTATCAGAGAATGTGGGCAAGGAGACTATCTTGAAAGTAACAGACTGGTTACGTGGGATCTGGGAAATGAGACGACGTGCTGGACCAGTTCAACAATGGATTGACTCAATACCATTGCCTGCAAAATCAGATGTTGCTGTTGCAAGGGAGTGCCAAGAATATATGCCAAGCAAACCATTAACACCAACAGAGCCTAAGGACATTCCATTCACGAAGGAATCGAAGCCTCCAAGTATGACCGTATCGGCACCTATTAACGTTCCTAATTCGCCAGCAATGAGTGTACCTGTATTACCAAGGTAATACACGAATTATACGACATTAACGTTCTCTTCTTCTCTCTACAGTGCGGTAAAATCAAATGTGTTGATCTCGTCTCAATTGCAGTTCGCTGCCGCACAGACTGGCTCGAGATGCGAGCTTTCAATCGGACAGCAGTCACTGCAGTAGCGTCGAGAGCCTATTAGAATTACGAAGGGCGGATCCGACAGCGATCTTGCTCGACCTCGGCTTCGGCGGTTGTACCGCCAGTCCGCAGGAAAACGGCCCACTTTCTCGCATTCCTAAGAGGTTCCTACAGCCGTCGTCGTTAAAAGGCATAGCCATCGACGATTTCGTTAAGCAGCAACAACAGACCAGCGAGTCTTTCGACTCGGTATCCTTAGGATATAGAGGCCTAACGGGTGAGATTTCGCTGACAATTTACAATATTATTTTCGGTGTCCACACACGTGAGAAACTGCGGGGACAAGAATCTCATAGTCACAAATTCTACTGAATAAACGTACGACTGTAATGTCATCACGATGAATTGGCAGCAACAATTTCATGGAGTCAATTTAGCTACTGAGTATCAAGTTAATTATCTGTTAAATCAATGCTCCACTTTTGCGATATCAATTGATAGTAAATTAATGGAATAATAAAGTAATTCGTGGACTAATATTTCTGGACATAAAGTAAATTCGTAAAGACACTCTACTATACGTATTACGCTCTACTCTACTCTAGTATTACGCAAATGATAATTTTGTAGGAAGCAATAGCGCGTTAAGCGTGCCTACGCGTGTCCGACAGCGCCGAAACTCCGGACCAAGTAATTTTGTAAGTCACGCGCGAGAATCTGTAAATGGGAGTGATTTGATATATCCTTAAAAGCTCTTTAGTTGAACCCACTAAATATACGTCTCATCGTATTGTTCACGCCTAACTAAAGAAACACGTAGTTATTCTTTTTTATTCGTACTATTATGATTCTCCTTTTAAAGTATTTCTTTATAGCTCCTTGGTTTCGCTTTGGGGTTTATGCATAAAGTCAGTTGAGATGCAACATTTCGCTATTTTTCCATAGAGATCACTTTGGATTCATTGTGTGTGCGATTATGGCATTATGCTTTTAGAATTCGAGAAAAACTCGGTAATAAAGAGCAGACCTTAGATTGTGAACACGAGATTATATGTGATCTTAGTTTAAAGTAAATTTGCATGCATAATAGTAAGATATAAATGCAAAGTAATATAGTAAAATACATGTGCTAATGTGTAAGAAGAGCACGAATTCAAAACACAAACAATAGAGCCTAATGTTTCGCAATATTGTTATTTATTGCAAAGCAGCACTTAGTTCCTTTTCTGTCTTTTTTTATTAATTCTGTGCATCAATGTGTGTTTGAAAATGTTCAGTTGCGATTATAACTGCTAAGCTGAGACAGTTTTGCGTATGTAAGTCATTATATATATATATATGTTTCTTATATCATTCTCAGATTGTGTGTATATCTCTCAATTATTTTCTTCATCTCTAGTTTGTATATTGAATGGACGTTACACTTTGTTTCGTGGCATTATTGTTACCGGCCGTGATGGACGTGTATACACGGTGAAATATATTTTTTCTTTTTCTCACGTTTCTCTGGAAGGATCACCGTATGTAGCCCCGTCGGAAATTGTGCAAAAGATCATGGAACGTTTGCGAGAGCACGACAATCATGAAGTGGATACGAGTTCGTACAATTGCTGCGAGCAAAACAGCCCGTTGCAACAAAATGGAAGATTATCCGTTCTGTCTCCCGATAACAGACAATTCTTGGAACAGCCACGTTCCAAAAGTCCCGACATGCGCAATAAACGTATGATAATAGGTAAACGAGAGAAAACAATTAGAGATTATTCTTTATTAATGTTTTATTTATTATATATCGCACATTGATCATAGAGATGTCTTCTCTTTTGCAGGCCAAAAGTCGTTTGTCTTCGGATGCGACGGCAACTTAATCGAGATATCTTCCAGCGATACGAAACTTGCGTCTGTCGACAGGATAGATAATTATAGCGTTACGTTAGACGCTGACGATTCCATAGAGTCAAAACAATCATCTCCGGAAGAAAGGGTATTGTTCGAGCATTCGTATTTCTCGGATAATGACAAACAATTAGTGAGACAATTGTCGTTTAACGATACTGTCGAATTTCCTGAGCCTGATCAATCAAAAGATGATGAGGCATCTTCGTCGAGTAGTTCGGATATTGCTCAAAGTGGCACAAACATAGATAATAACGAGCGAGAGCGAAATGTAGCGGAGACACCTTCTAGATATGAGAGATATGAGTTTCCGCGACACTGTCCTGATATTCGAAGAGCCAGCGAGGGTTCGTGCAACACCAAGTCCTTGGAGGACAAAATGTTTGACGAGGGACGTAGATTTAGCGATGGCGCGGTGCACATCGCTGAAGATAAGCGCAGTGAATGCACGTTATTGCAAAAAAGAAAGAGTCTCAAAAGACAATCTAGAGTATGCGACACAACGGCGATGCAGTATTGCAGCCTAAGTCCTATCAAATCTAGCATAGCAGACGCAATACTCGAATCTAATGTAGATAATGAGGAAGAGATATCGTATGACGTAACTGATATTAATATACACCAATTAAGCGCACCAAAGTCGTTCCAGTTGACTGAAAGTAAAGGTGATCCGGAGTTGAAGACGGACGCGGAGTCTTGTCTCGGTAATCCCGACTATACGTCTTCGCCATGGAAAAGTAGCGATTCTATCAATCAAATAGAACACCTCGAAACTACGGAAGGAGATTCGGAAGCGAGTGATCATTCTTGTGCGAAAGACACTCAGGTTTGTTGCTACAGAGGTAAGGCGTGTAAAAGTTGCAAGCACGGTAGGAATTGTTTGGATTGTCGCCGCCACATTGATAAAAGAAAGTATTTGGAAAAGATGGAAAAGATTATGCAGGAGAATAAGAAATTGGAAACCATGCTGGCGAGGAATAGAAGAGAAGTGGCGGAGATTCGTGATATGCTAAGTAATATTTGGTCGGTTAGAATGGAACCGGGATTTTAGATTTGTTAGTTAGAGAAAAGTTTAGAAAGTTAAATGTGCTCACTTTGGTAGTTAAAAATGGTTAACTATAAATGTGCTCACTTTGGTAGTTAAAAATGGTTAACTATAAAGTCATGCTTCGTGATATAGAAGGGTGTATTTGAAGGAGAAAATCAATATCTTATAGAAATTTGGAATTTCCTATTTAAACTGAATCTATTCTTCTATTTCAAAGGTTGAATATTTTCGAGACTCGGATTTTGTAAAGTATACATCGTCTACTATGACCAAAAATATTTCTACAAACTATATGAAAACAACCAATCTCTTTTAGCATCTATATTTTTAGTTGAAATATAAAAAGTAGACGTAATATATATTTACTTATATCTCTGTGCGTGCTGAAAATGTTACGCCAAAAAAATATCACAGCACAGATCTTTTTATACATTTACATCTTCACTTACAACCCATGTACTTTCTTTTGTATACATTTACTCTCAATGCGGGTTATAAGTAGAGATAAAAAATATAATCTTGTTATTACATTCAGATTTTATATTTCTCAATATATTAAACACCAGCACACAGGACCAAAAAAATAAGTGCAACATATTTATCGTAATATTTTGTTTAAGAATGAGTTAATGTATGTTCATTATAATTAAGATAAATTAACAAAAGTTACAATCTCAAAGTGAATGTAAAAAATTGAAGAACGGTACCGACGGTACATCGACGTCATTGGCTGAAAGAAACACATTCCCATATCTGTCTGTTAAGTTTGAAATATGGAATTAACGTTTGTTGTCTTGTAACTATAAGTTTGTTAACTGAATGTCTTTGTTTAACTTGTGATTGAGAGATGTGTCATGGTTTATTCATATTTGATACTTCTTTTTGGATATCATGTTATACCGTTTGGATAGTTTATTTTTAGTCAGATTAACATTTAGCCAGATAATACATATGCACAAAATGTTCTTAGGAACATGATAATGGGCATGATTATGATAATAATGGAAGTATATGATATTTCTGTCACTTTTTTTTTTAATGAGTATGTCAAATAATTTTGGTATCAATAAGCGTTGACCAATCTCTATTTCATACAAGAAAATTCTAGAAGATCTAGTCTTCGATAGATACCATCAACAGTGATATTTCTATTTATTATCAATTTCTCATAATCAGGAATAATGTGATACCATATATTTCTTGAGCAACTCATCCGTTTGGATATTAATTATTTATAGTTAAGCGGTCATTTATCATATTTTGACCTAATATGATGACAATCAGTATCAAGAGTTGGTATTGTAAAAAAATTTTGCATATCAACACGCTGAGTGGCACGTAACATGTGGATCTGGAAGAATTCCATTTATGGATAGTTTTACTTACCCAACTAATTATGATCTCGCAAAATATTCATGATTTACTAAGTAATATTACTAATCGAATGTAACTCTTGGAATTGACAGTGTGTTAAATAATCTGACTGTATATGGCACTCAACGTGTCAGCCCAAAAAAGCACAAAGATCAAAATATACTTCCGTCTTTAATAATTCATATATTACATTCAATTTCGTGTTATTAATTGTTTCAATTAATAATAGCTATTGTTGGTACGTTTTTTTTATTAAAAAATAAACTGACAATCGATTTTAAAATATATGAAACAGGAGACAATTCTTGTGAGAGACGAGAGAGTGCTCTAAATACTCGGCATATTTACACATTATCTGAAAATGCACACTGAATCTAAAAATGCATTCCTTCCGCGAAGATCGATCAGATGTATACAAATTATCCGATACATATACAGTGGCAGAACATTATTATCCATGAGAACAATATTCGGGTAGGAGCAAAAAAGATATTGAATACATTAAATTAATATGTATATTGTTACGAAATGTATATGTCTGTCCATTTCTTTTTGCATAATGCTTAAAATGCTAACAACATCGATTGGAAGTTTATCTGATATTACTAAGTGCGGTTTTATTCATTTTTGTTAAGACTTCTGATCGCTTGCCGCGGTCATCTTGATCGATGACATCAGAAGTGAGAAAATACTTGCGGGATGCATTGGAATAAAAGGACATTCATAAAACGGCGCTTGTAATCAATTGAGATAGATCTGTAAAATATTACAAACACTTTCCCTTTGTTCTGATAATCAATAAATAATTGTAAAATTAACGTAACCTGTGTTATGTTTTAGTTACAAATTTTTGTCACTTTATCAATTTCATATTTCCCGTTCAAAAACGAATTTTGCTAAAAAATTTTTGAACATGCATATTCTCGCTTCTGACGTCATTAACACTTGCTGGATGGTGTTTAGATCTCAGCTCAGACCCAGACACCGTAATATGATCACCATCATATATGTATGAACCATCAATGTCGCGAGGGTCAGTCAAGATGATTGTGTAGAAACAGGTGTCCTAATTGATCGTATCGTCACTTAATGAAAAAAAACTGCGTTTAATGATATATGGTCGCGTGAAATCGTAATTAACACAGATATATACGACTACTCAACCAATATGATTCAGTACAAATGGGAAACTTTGGGACACTATCTTTCACATAATAAATCTCTAAATGAAATCTATCTATAGTATTTTTCTGATTTCTTGCACAATATTAAGTGATGAAGTCTAAATAAGATATGTATTATCTACGTAAAATATATAGAAAGTAGTTATATAAACAGCGTAAGAGCATTGTAGAAAGTAAGGTACAAAATGTATAATTGTGGAGAAACTCAATAAATATTTGCCACAATTGAGTTTCTTTTTTATATGTGTTAAGCACGTTTCGTGTCTGTGAAATTTATCTCCTAAAGATACCGCTTGTAACGTTTTGTAGGAAAGAAATCTACCGAAAAAAACATTCAAGACATGCTCTTTTCCTTACCTTGAGCTATAAATATAATCGTAAAAGTATGTCGCGATTCTTGGAGATCGATATGTGTGGTAACGCAACGTCATAAATATATCATAAAATTAAATTATGTTCGTGATAGAGACAAAAAGTTCATTGTCTCAATAATGATACAAAAGTTCTCGTCTATATAATCGATTATTTCAAAAATCATGTGAGGGATATAAATGCAGATTGTTTAATTACTGGAAGTTCCCTAATTTTTGTTACATCTTAAGATTAAATGTACACACCAAAACTGGCCCAGCACCGCCCACAGCAGTGGTATGAACCGTAATACATATGTATGTATATAATTTGTAGAATCCTATATTCTTTGTGCCACTTGGGTATCAACTAATATTTTTTTTTTATTCTAAATCTGATTGAGAAAAGGAGGATCATATTTTACATTCACTCCAACTTGTCTTGTTTGAGAAGACTTTATTATTTTATTCTTTTGTTCGTATTGAATACTTTTTAGTTTCTATTACAGTACTGTTAGCAACAGTCCCGGTTCTTATCTCTGTCTAAGGGCGTGCTCGAATTGGCCATATAGGTCACAAGGCCAATGTTGCATATCTAAACTAGAGTTTAAATTATGAAGAGTAGACTAACGATGTGGCGTCGTAAAAAGAAAAAAAAAAATGAACACCAACATGCATCCGTTATACTAGGTAACATTAATTTCTCCGTCAATAACGTAAAATATTTGATAAATTATCGGTTATTGTATTCATCAAACTCTGTAATACGACGCTGCTTGTGAGTAGCTCTATTGGTAATTGAAGCTCACACATATACATCTGTCAGAGATATCAATTATAGCTAAAGCTACCCCCCAGTAATAAACTCAGAGCCATGGTCCACCCAATCTTATCCTTTTAAGTATGAACCTGCTACAGTACTATGTCATTAACTGGATCTGTGTGTAAATCGCAAATATGTCTTCTGAACAGTGTTCTGTGTGTACATGTAGATGTGTTCTTTTTCCCTTAGCATACCTTAAAACGTATATAAACAAATTAAGAGCAAACTCGACCTAGTTTTTAGTCTTCTTTTTCGTCCCTGCAACGAACAGAAAGGAATTGATTAGTTTCTAGCTTCACTGAGAGTACACGTTGAGACAACATAATGCAACAACAATAATACATATACGTACTTTACTTCTTGTTGTTGAAAAAGATGAAGTTCAACAATTGTCTCTGCTCTACTTTGCACTTTAAAGGTCACATGGGCTACTAAGTAATTGTCTTTGTTATTAACTGACCACCCAGAGTACTGAAATAAAATGTATTCTATGAACTTACATATTATATGAGAATAATTTATGTTCTATTGTAATGTGCTGTAAATAGATGAGTTTATTTACAATCTTGAGGAATAGATAATACACTTACTGTCGATGTGCTTTTGTACAATGTCTTGCCATCTTCCTTAAATGGTAAGAACTTTTGCAACAGTGCTTTTCCATCTATCCTCCATAATGTAGGTGGATCATTAACTCCATCAACATCAGTTTTCGCAACAACAAATGCACCAGACTGTGTGATGTGTCAATGTTAATAACCATCTTGAAGAAAATGTTAAGATTGATTCGATATAGATCAAGGCACTTACTGTGTAATCCTTTGGAGCCTCTCCTGATGACTCATTGAAACTGTTGTCAGAATCGTCTTCCTCGGAATCCTTTTCATCATCTTCTTTCTTGGAGCGCCTTTTCCTCTTTGGCTTCTTCCCTGTATCAGAATCTGAATCCTCTTCGTCAATATCATCATCTGACTCACCCTCATCTTCATCCTCTTCCTCTTCTTCCTCAGAGTGTTGTCGCTTCTTTGCTGTTTCCCTCTGTGGCCTTATTTTAGCACCACTCTTTAAAAAAAACATAAGTAACATAGTAAAATAATAAGATATATATATTTACATATTGTATAATCATTCACAAAATTAGACTTTTATTCATATCTCATATGAGAGAAAGCGATATTTTGTATAATCATTCCCAAAATTAGACTTTTATTCATATCTCATATGAGAGAAAAAGAGATATTTTTTTTTATAAAATTTAATATCGATGTATAACAAGTCGTAAAATATAAAATATACATATTTCAAATTTATTTGCTCAAAACATTATCTTCTATTTATTAGACGTTCTCTATTTTCTATATTATCTGTTAGATCATAGACTTGTTCTTTGTAGCTGCACTGCTGAATTGGTGCAATATATTGAAGCGAGACAAATATACGTTTTCTCACTCTAACTTATTGCACTAGTTCAGCAGTGCAGTTACAAAGAACAGGCCTCATTTTATCTTTCAACCGCATCGCCATCTAAGGATCTATCGATTTATCGATTGTTGTTACAAATTACAAACTTAGAAAATGCAATCGATGATCTGTCACGCCGTTCAAGCAGAAATCGGACATGACATCGGCGTTCACGCCTCGACATAACGCTTCTGTTCGAAGCGTCGGACAGAAAAACTAAAACGCGGAGTAGACGGCGGCGGTCGCCCGCCTCGCTGCGGCGATTTGAAAAATTCGACGATCGGCGCCACCAAGCGGCCGGCCGGCAACGATGGCCGCGGTGCGGCAGGCTCCAAGCCGGAAGGGCATGAACGGCCGTACCTCGAAAGGTACGCTCTAACAGCGCGGCTCGACGACCACGCGGGAAGCCACCGGCCGCGACCTCGAGGTCGGCTTTGGCGCGGAGACGCGCCGGAAACGGCGACGGCACCGCCGAGAGGAATCCGCGCGCGCTTCTCGGCGACGGTGGCGGCGGCGGCAGCGACATGAAGGCAGCCGCTAATACCGCCGACGCTGAGCTCGGTGTAATTCACGAGAAATGCAGGGCGCTGGCAGGTGTGTTTACTCGACATGATGTAACAGATCCAACATCGTTGGAGGAGCTACGATGAAGACGCGATCGCCGAGGGATCCCCTCGGCGTCTGAATCGCGGAGGAGTGCTCGTCTCGAAACGACTCGACTTCTCAAACGCGCTCCTTTGATGGGGTGTTATTTGCGCGATACGCCGACGGAGAATCACGTCAGAAGAGCGTCGACGGCGACCCACGAGGCTCTGCGACTCGGTGGTCGTCAGGATGCGCGCGATGAGGACACGACGACGAGGATGACGGAGTGTATGACGTGGGCTTACCTCGGGTCCAGCCTCGGGAGTCCACTCCTCCTCGGAGGCACCTTCGACCTCGTCTGGATCGTCCGCCGAATACTCGTCCTCGTCCGACACATCCTTGGTCTTCTTCATGTTGCTTTTGCGCGAAATGTTTGTCGCTGTCGTAATACACTTGCTATAGCCACAGGGGTACGCCGGACACGAGGCCGCACTCAGAGCTTACGACGAAGGACGTGCTCGACTGCTCGACACCGCAAACAATATGGCGCTCGGTCGCGCGCGGACGGACTCGCCAGACTGGCGGAACGGCCTCGAGATGGCGCCACCGACTGCATTAAGTGAGCGAGCGCGGGAAAACGAGCCGTGGGCGCGAGAGAGAGAAGCGCGCGACGTAATTCGTGGTCACGTTCGAGGGATTTGCGATATTTCGTGTTGTATCATTTATTTATCGACAACGTGGAGTCGACGAACGAGATCGGTATAATCTCCACGAGCCCGCTACGACCACTACGAGGTTTGTTTCCATTATATTATTCATTGCCTGGAGATTTGAGGTTACATTGAGCCCGAAGGGCCGCGAGACCGTCTTGTTCAAATTCGATATAAGCGCTACATAATTAGCAATTAATTAATCGTCCGTGAAATCAATCACATCCCAGCAAACACGATGACGTCAATTGGCATATTAATAACGTATTATTGACGCTAGAAATCATCATTAATGCGTCATTAATATGTCATTTGACGTCACCCTGCTACTTGGGATGATATCCCCTTCTATTGCCTGTTTCTTCCAACGTCGATTAGGGAGGCGTAAGGCTCAGTGTCGTATCTTCAGTGGCGCATTAAAGGGACTCACAAATTTACTACTTCTATCGAACAAAATTACATTTATATACATTTATTTTTATATATACATTCATTTTTATACATAATTTATATATAATGCAAGCTTCAATGTGTGAATTTTTCATAATCTCAGTTTACGTTACAGTCCTTTTGAGAGTAGGTTCTGTTTGGCGTTGCAAGTGTTTCAGAGCGATGAGTAGACCAATCATATCGTTTTTCTTGACGCTTCAAAGTATTTGCAGTGTCAAGCGGACCTCCTGTTCTAAGTTTTTGTTTGAATAGACTTTAAACTCAAAGTTCCATCGGCAACTATGTTCCGATATCCACTACTAGTACTGAAAATTTATAGTTTATGTTACGTATACTATAAATTTTCAGTATTGGCAGTGAATATCAGGATGCAGCCGGCATTGATCGATTAAACAGGAATATACTATATGTCTCTTTTGTTTGTTTCGCGCGCATCCTTTTATTTAAGAATATTTCAAGTTCCAAATCATTGAAAAATTTTTCTTTCTTCTGAGATATTAAACTGACGCAAAAAAATGATTTTTCTATTAAATTTTTATAGGAGTGTTTGAGTATTTGAAAAAAAAAAAAAAAAGTTCTCTCGATTGTTCATTTTATTGATAAGTGAAAATATTTTAAAAAATTGATGATCTCTGATCTCTGGAAATCTCCGATAGAGAAGATTGCTACGACGTTATGTTTTTACGTAAAAATATTTTTATTTTTTACTAAGATATAACAGCATTTTTACTGTTAAATGTCATTCATATTTGATAATAATGAAGAAATTGATGAGGTACGATTTAGGAGACCGGTACGAGAAATTTTAGCGATTCTTCCCTGTGACTTTCAACAAACGTGCGCACAATTCTTACCACGAACCGAGGCGCCCAGATGGCAGCAGGTCTCGTGTCTAAAGAAACATGTGGGAGTGTCTGCATCTGTCAGCGCGCAGACAGGAAGCATCGCGTGCCTCGTGAGTTCCGGTCCGATACGGACCATCGATATTCGAACGGCGTCATGTCATGTATATCATGTCATGTATGCTCAATCTTACGAATATCTGGTCGAATAATATTAATTAAATAAGAGAGAAAAAATAATCCCGAGGATACACTTGACAAATGTCTCCCAGCTTATTCATTTCATGAATATCCGAATGTATCGCGTCGTTGAAACTTTCGGAGCATAATTTGCTAACAATAGCCAATTTAATAGCCAATCGTTTGTGCGTTTTATGCACAAAGATAAATCGTTCCGAATGAATAAGGAATATTCTTCATCCGGGAACACGAGTACTTACTTTCAACGTTACGTGTTTCAGCAATATATAATTATTTTTATGTAACAGCAGAACTTCCACAGAGAGAAAGAGGGAGAAGAGATTTTTCTCTTTTTCAGCAATATACAAGAAAGAAGGAACAATGACAAAACAAGCGGATCGGTCAGAAACATCGGACGTTTTTAATGAAGCATGGATCCGTGAAGTTGCTGAACGCAACGCCGCTGACGCAACGTGTATTTTTCAAAAACCCGACGAAATAATTCTTTTACACACGACAGGCTCATTAATGCGGCAGAGTCGAGTTACGTAAGACAGAGTAATCGTCTAATTGTCAGAATAACTAAAAATTCAACGAGCTCTTCCCGCTGCCTTTGCGCATGACCGCGCGACTCGACGCAGCTGTCAGCCGTCGCCATCGTCAGCCTCGCGAGGGTGTACACGCGATAATTAACGAGAACCAGCCGATAATTGTGCGCCACGCGATGCTTTCAAGGAGCGGCGAGCTTCTTTCGTCGCACCCGCACCGCAAATCCCTAATAATTTTTTGGATTTCAACCGCTTGCCGGGCCGGGTCGATATGGGGGTTGACGCGTGCGCCGACCGTGCCGTTGCGTCGTCCGGAGGACGCTTCGTTCAGTATTTACGGTACTGGCGATAGTGGCAAAAACCCCGGTGCAAGGGTAAGGAGCGGCCGGTGGGATCAGGGAGAAAGATGTTCGAGCTGTACGGCGTCGGCAAGGGCGGCATGGTGTATCACCCGCCGCCCCCCCGAGGGAAAGAAGTCGACATCTTGGAGGTAGGGTGAGAGACGTGATTAAAAGTCCCCTGTCAATTACGGCTCGATCTCAAAAGCTTCCTCTTAATTATCGTGCCGCTGCCACCCAAGGCTTCGG